TAACCTACTCTCAACAGTGCTTTAACTAATACATAATTATTAATAATACATACATACATGCAGTGTGTGTAATGCCAACTGATTGTAAAGCATGGAAAGAACTCGGAATTAAACAAAATGGAGTATATCCTATAAAACCAGATAATGGACCAGCTTTCCAAGTAATGTTTAATTGTATTATACTTTATAATTATACACTATTGGATCACAGGTATACTGTGATATGGAGACTGATGGTGGTGGATGGACTGTATTTCAGAGGAGACAAGATGGATCTGTTGATTTCTATAGATACTGGACTGACTATGAGAATGGATTTGGTGACCTTACTGGTGAGTTTTGGTTAGGATTGAGCAAGATTCATCGTCTTACTAAAGAAGGATCAAACACACTAAGAGTGGACCTGGGAGACTTTGAGGAGAACACAAGATATGCTAACTACTCTACATTTAATGTTAGTGATGGTAGTACTGAATATATACTAACAGTAGGAGGATACTCTGGTACTGCTGGGGATAATCTGGCCCATCACAACGGAATAAGATTCTCTACAAAAGACAATGATAATGATCACAGAACGCATTGGCATTGTGCTCAGGAAGACATTGGTGCCTGGTGGTTTAATTCTTGCTTTCAATCACATCTCAATGGTCCGTATTATACTAATCCAACTGGAAATGGTGAGTGGAATGGAATCATATGGAATGATTGGCCAGGCCCTTACTATAGTCTCAGGTTTACAGAGATGAAAACTCATCGTAACAATTAAATATAAATAAAGTGTGTGTGACAGGATTGTGTAGAATCAGTTATTACTTAGTGTATTTAGATTATTTTGTTACTTTTATAATAAAGTTATTTCCTAATAATGTTAAACCTCATCAGTGATTAATATCATAATACAACTTATATACAACAGTGTCATGTTAAACATATTTCAAATACTTTGCTTATAATTACAAGCAGACCAGCACTGTTACTAACATTATACTATCACACACATACACTACATTATTAACTCATATATAAGATACAGGTATTAGTAACAATAGAAATGTAAGGACTGCAATGATAATGTTATTAATTTAAAATAAACATTCCAGTAAGTTTTCCTACACACATACAATTTTTCTTTCTGCTAGAGTGTGATGATACG